GGGGGGTGGTGAGCTGGGTGGGTTTTGGGGTGTGGGTGTGGGTGGTGGTGGTGAGCTGGGTCGGTTTTGGGGTGCGGGAGGGGCTGGGTGGTGGTGAGCTGGGTGGGCTTCGGGGTGCGGGGGGTTTGGGTGGTGGTGAGCTGGGTGGGTTTCGGGGTGCGGGGCGTGCTGAGTGGTGGTGGTGAGCGGGGTGGGTTTTGGGGGGGGGGCATGCTGGGTGGTGGTGGTGAGCTGGGTGGGTTTCCCGGAAGGACTGGCGATGCGGAGAGTGGGTTTGGGGAGGCGATGATGGCTGTGAGCCAGTTTCCAAGCTGCTGTGGTACTAAACCCGTTCCCTTTGCTGACTCTCAGATGACCTCCAGTCTCTCATGGGTGACCAGGGACGATTAAAACCCTTGCAGCTGAAATCCCGGAAAAGCAAAGAGAAGGTGAGTGCCAAATGGCGGTACCATCAGTTTGCCCGTTGTGAAGCAGGAATTGAACGAGGAAGAGTTTTCACATTCCTTCAAATATGTACGGATTGTGACTGTGAGGACATTATTACAGAACTTCAACTGGGTACAAGATGGTGGGGGCAGGCAATTGGCAGGAGTAGTTTAATGCAGTGATCCATGTTGGCGGAAGAACAGGTATAAATGTTTAAAGGGTGTAGGAACTGGGAGATCTGAGGCTATGTGTGAACCCATCATTGAAGCCTAGGCAGGGAGCTCAATTCATGAAACAGACAGTATCCTGGGGTTTGTTAATAGGAACACAGAGAACAGGAGGAAGGAGCCGATGCTGGACTGGCCAACCTTGGCTGGAGGGTTGTGTCCAGTTCTGGGCCCTTGCTCTTTTGGAAGGATGTGAAGCTTTCAGAGAGGATGCAGAAAACATTCAGGAGAATGGTCCCAGGGATGAGGGGCTTCAGTGACATGGAGAGATCGGAGAGACTGGGACTGTCCTCCTCAGAGAGGAGAAGGACGAGAGAGAGATTTGATCGAGGGGCTCAGAACCACAAGGGGGTCTGGACAGTGGAGAGAGGGAGGGACAGTTCCTACTGGGAACAGATTCGCAACCAGAGGGACATGGATCAGAGAGAATTGGGAAAAGAGGAGACGGAGACATGAGGAGAAACGTTTTCACACAGCGAGGGGTTAGGGTCTGGAATGTACTGTCTGAGAGTGTTGGGGGAGCAGGGTCACTTGAGGGGTTAGGGTCTGGAATGTACTGTCTGAGAGTGTGGGGGGGGAGGTGGGGACAGGGTCACTTGACCGTGCAAGATTTCTGGGGAAAGGGATTGGGTGAGCCTCTGCTTCAGAGATCAAGTGCAGACTGGAAGGGCTGAACGGCCTGCTGCTGTGCTGTGCCACATTGCGTGGATTCCATGGCTTGGTGAACAGGAGCATTGGTGCCATGAGATGCGCTCACGTGTGTCTGTGTCTGTGTGTGTGCGCGCGCGCCCCTGTGCCCAGTGCTGGCCCAGTCCCGTGCGAAGGCAACACCCTTGGTGTCACAATGACTTGGCTTAGCGCCAGATGACGAGAACATTTTCCGGTGAAAAGCCTGGTTCGCGGCTGAGCTGCCGCGGTGACAGAGAGTTTGTCAAGGGGCACGAGTTGACGATTGGCGTTTGGCGGGATTGGGGCGGGTGCTGCAGTCGTGGTCGGGCAGCCTTGCTGACCTTCTGTGCCCACTTCCCTCAGGAGAAACCCGTTCTACTGAGCAAACAGGAGCAGCTGGCGCTCAGTCCCCTGAGCCCATTCGCCAACAACAACAGCGGGCGGCAGAAGGGTCTCTCTGATGGCGTGCACCGAATACGAGTGGACTTCAAGGTGAGTGGGTGGCTCTGTGTGTTTTGATGCCTGTTGTCACTGAATCCCCCACTATCCACATCCTGGGGGTTACCATTGACCAGAACCTCAACTGGACCCACCACATAAACACAGCGGCTGCAAGAGCAGGCCAGAGGCTGGGAATTCTGCAGCGAGTAACTCCCCTCCTGACTCCCCCCAAAGCCTGTCCCACCATCTACAAGGCTCAAGTCAGGAGTGTGATGGAATACTCCCCACTTGCCCTGGATGGGGGCAGCTCCAACAGCACTCAAGAAGCTCCATACCACTAACATCCCACTCCCTCCCCCACGCTCAGTCGCAGCAGTGTGTACCATCTACAAGATGCCCTGCAGCAACTCACCAAGGCCCCTCAGGCAGCACCTTCCAAACCCACGGCCACTTCCATCTAGAAGGGCAAGGGGCAGCAGATACATGGGAACACCACCCCCTGCAAGTTCCCTTCCGAGCCCCTCAACATCCTGAGTTGGAAATAAATAGGCCGTTCCTTCAGTGTCACTGGGTCAGAATCCTGGAATTCCCTCCATAAGGGCATTATTAACAAAAATAGAGCTTTGTTCATCTCCCGCAGTGTTGGGACATAAGGGCCATTGAAATGATTCACGTGCTATCATACTGCGCTGTTTTGGAGTATCTGTTCATTAAGATTACAGTCCGCTTTTTGAATCATCCTTGCAGAGTACCTGACATCACACTTTTCTGCATAAAGTTTTTGCTTGACCTGTCTATCCCCTTGGAGATTGCTCATCAAAACATGTCCTGCTGCCTATTTTGTAGCATCTGTAAATTTAGATACATCTTAATCCGGGTAAATGTGAGATGCTGCACTTGGGAGATCAAATGTTAAGGAAAAGTATGCAGTTATTGGCAGGACGCTGAACGGCATTGATGTACAGAGGGATCTTGGGGTTCAAGTCCGAAGCTCCTTGAAAGTAGCCATGCAAGTAGATCGGGTGGTAAAGAAGGCGTTTGGCATGTTTGTCTTTATTAGTCGGAGAATTGAGTACAGGGTCGGCATGTCATGTTGCAGCTTTATAAAACTTTGCTTTGGCCACAGTTATGGTTGCCACTTTACAGGAAGAATGTGAAGGCTTTGAAAAGGGTGCAGAAGAGGTTTACCGGGATCCTGCCGGGATTAACGGGTATGAGCTATAAGGAGAGGCTAGAAAAACTCGGTCAGAGATAGTAAGAACTGCCGATGCTGGAGTCAGAGATAACACAGTGTGGAGCTGGAGGCACACAGCAGGCCAGGCAGCATCAGAGGAGCAGGAAAGCTGATGTTTCGGGTCGGGACCCTTCTTCAGAAGAAGATCCCTCTGTACATCAGTGCTATTCAGGGTCTTCAGAAGAAGGTTCCCGACCCGAAACGTCGGCTTTCCTGCTCCTCTGATCCTGCCTTGCCTGCTGTGTTCCTCCAGCTTCGCACTGTGTTATCTAGAAAAATCTCGGGTTGTTTTCTCCAGAGCAGCGGAGGCTGAGGGGAGACTTGATAGAGGTTTATAAAATTATGAGATGCACAGACAGGGTTGACAGTCAGAATCTTTTTCGCAGAGTTGAAATGTCAAAAACTAGGGGGCATGCATTTAAGGTGAGAGGGAGCAAGTTCAAAGATTTTGTTTTACACAGAGAGTGGTAGGAGTGTGAAACGCACTGCCAGGGTGGTAGTAGAGGCAGATAGGATAAGGTGTTTAAGGGACATGGATATGCAAGCAATGGAGGGATATGGACCAAGGGCAGGCGGAAGGGATTAATTTACTTTGGCGTCACGTTTGGCACAACATCATGGGCTGAAGGGCCATTGCTATACTGTTCTACGTTCTAGTGAATCTGTGGTTGGAACCTAAACTTCTTTGGCATGATCCCTTCTCACACAAAGACAGACAGTTAATGGATAAATTAAAAGGAAGGCATAACTGGCCAGTTCACATAACCAGTTTCCACAATGTGTAGTATCGCAAACATATAAGATTGTACCTTGCTTGGTTTCTGAAGACACCAGGCAACGCAAACAGCTTCCACTAGGCTCTGAGGAATATTCATTGATTTCCTCTGGCTGGGATTCTATTCTCCCAATGTTCAATCTGTTGGATACAGGAGGAGATCTAGAGATCAACCAAAATTCCTATCACCAGCTTTCACAGTCACAGCCTTTCTCTCAAACCCACAGCTCAAACTTTGGTTTCTCTGACTGCGTTTCCGACATTGCCTTTGTTAGAGTGGTGGGCACCAATCTCCCTGCGGTGGCTCCTTTTAGCACCCAAACATCTGCCGGCCTTGGAACATGACACATTCTCCAGAGCCGAAACGTCTACAGTGCCCTTTGAACTGTAGTCAACCTGCAGTTAACTTGCCAGACCAGGTCCCATAAACCGATACCTGTATTCTGAGAGAGAGAGGGGGAGGGGGTAATGGATGGAGTGCTGGGGGAATGATAGAGAAAGAGACTGGCGGCTGGAGAGAATAGGCACAGAGTGATAGAGAAAGAGAGAGGAGAACCATGAGGGTGGAAAGACAGAGTGGGGAATTGAACGCAGTATTCCAAAAGTGGCATAACCAATGTCCTGTACAGGGACTTGCTGTCAATGCTTTAATCTTACCTGCATCAGGACAGACATTCAAGAAAACCAAATCTTGAGCGAGAGCAGTGGGTTCATTCTGCAGGAGACGAAGGTGCTGGTCGGTGGGTGAGGGCTGATGGGCGCCCTTTAAGCCAACCAATCAGAGTCCAGCAATTTAATCGCGCAGAATAAATTGGTGTTCCCTCTCGGGGTTTGGTTTTCTTGAGTGTCTGTCCTGACGCAGACAAGATGTAAATTATTGACACTATCAAGGAGCCTTGTGTTTGTTTTAACTTTTTTTTAATTTTGCCTGCGTTTGTGTTATGGCATTGTGCTGTTCTTTATGGGGAAGAGAGAACCAACTGATCCATCCTCCCGAGCCTGGACGGTGATTTCGGGCACTGTATCTGGCTGGCTGTTTATCTGTTTAATCTGATTTGTGACGCTAATGTTTCTTTGCTCTGTCTTTTTCACTCTAACCATACTCCCCGTCCTCTCCGTGTGACACCGCCCCCTCCAGGAGGACTGCAGCATTGAAAATGTCTGGCTGATGGGTGGCCTCAGTGTTCTGTCATCTGTTCCCATCCTGCCCCGGGTTCTTTGCCTGCTGTGCGCGAGCCAGGGGCACCACGAGGTAAGCTGACCCTGACCTCTGACCCCCTCCGAACCTGTAGCCTCCACCCCCGTTCGTCACTGAGGTCAGTTTGTAGCAGGCTGACGTATGAAGAGGCGGGTACCGTCGGGAATTGCTTCGGGAGTGGGGGGGGAGTTGGGTTTTTTTTTGGAGGAGGCGGGCGCTGGGGGCTGGGGGCGGAGAGAGTGCAAACCTGGAACCCGGGTTTCGTCTCGCCAAGGGTCGGGTTAAAGCTAGTGACGCTGCAGTTTTCCTTCGCGTTTCAAGGTCACGGGACTGAGACAGGTCAATGGAGCTGAGAGGCAGAGCAGCCGTGATCGGGTTGAGCTACCTCGCAGGGGCTGAATGGCCTCCCGTTCCAGTGTAACAAGCTGGAGGAGGGGGGCTGAATGTCCTCCTGTTCCTGTGTAGCAGGCTGGAGGAGAGGGCCTGAATGGCCTCCTGTTCCTGTGTAATACGCTCAAGGATGGGGCTGAATGGTCTCCCGTTCCTGGGTAACAGGCTAGAGGAGGGGGTGCTGAATGGTCTCCCTTTCCTGTGTAACAGGCTGGAGGAAGGGGGCTGAATGGTCTCCAGTTCGTGTGTAACAGGCTGGAGGAGGGGGGCTGAATGGTCTCCTCCTGTTCCTGTGTAACAGGCTGGAGGAGGGAGGGGCTGAATGGTCTCCTGTTCCTGTGTAACAGGCTGGGGGAAGGGGTCTGAATGGCATCCTGTTCCTGTGTAACAGGCTCCAGGAGCGGGTCTGAATGGTCTCCTCCTATTCCTGAGTAACAGACTGGAGGAAGGGGGCTGAGTGGCCTCCTCCTCCTGCTGCTGCTGTTCCTGATGCCGCAGCTTGGAGGTTGAACTGAGAGTCTGTAACCTGTATGCTCTCTTGGGCTGTCTCTCGACCCCCTTGGGAAGGAGTGTCAGTGAGCAGCTGCTGTGATCCTCCGCAGTGCGTGTGCTCCTAGATCTTTTAAAGAGGGAGGCAGACCGAGTCTTGGGTCCAATATTTATCCCTCGAGCAGCGTCCATTTTTAAAACCCATCTGGGCCACACTCTCACAGCTGCTCGCGGGAGATTGCCGTGCACTGAATTTCCTGTTGCTTTTTCATGGCTGGGAAGCTTCGGGTGCCCTGAAACGCGGAGTTGGGGGGAGAGGCTCTGCAGAGAAAGGTCTCACTGACTTGGGGTTTCTCCCTGGAGCTGTACATTTGAGATGGAGGGATCAGTCAATTCCTCCTCCCCCGCCACTCCCCCCCCCCCAACCCCCCCAAGGGTCCTCGGGGATTGGGTGGGACGGTGGAGCTGAGTCGGGGGGGTGTAGGAGCAGGGGTCAGTTGTCCTGGACAATCTTGCCTGACCTTGGGTTTTGACGGCAGCCTTCACAGGCATTCCACACAGCCCTCAGCCTTGGACGTCTCGTTGAGATCTCGCGCTTTGAAACTCCATGGTCCGAATCAACCCTGGCCTCTCAGGGATCATGTCCCCTGTACCGCCTTCCCCTACCCAACGGCTCTCCCGTTCCCTGCAAACGTGGGGACAACAGCCACGGCCATGCAGTGCTCCTGGTGAGCTTGCGCTCCCTCTGTCTCTCTCTCTCTCTCTCTCTCTCACACACACACCTGCCCCGTACAGCTACATCAGAATCTCTTCGTTTTTCTGCTCCATTCTTCACCACCCTGAGTCCACCTGCCAGTTACACTCCCTGCCCATTGCTGGACCTGCATGTTGACTTGTACACACTCTATAAACGTGTAGGGACAACTCTCTGCCTCTCTGGGAGTCCGTGTGGACAGGTTCAAGCCTCTGATTAAAGAGAAATTCTGCTCCTCTATTCTGGAGACGAAAGAAATGACCTTCCACACCCTCAGGTTATAGTCCATCGAGGGCAGTGCTGATCCCTGGGCAGTAATTGTAGCTTCCTGTCTCTGATCTTCCCTGGCAATGTGCACTCTCACCGAGCATAGTCAAGCATCAGTGTGGTAGCCCCAGGCTTTCTGTAGGGGCAGCAGATATGAGGGGCTGAATAGCCTCCTGTTTTCATGAGAGAGTCATTTATACTATTGTTTGCTGCTCATTCCTCTCCTGATTGTGTGTGTCTCTCTCTCTCTCTTCTCCCTCACCCCATCCCTGTCCTCTTTCCCTCTTCACCGCCCTCCCTAACCCCTTCCGTCTCCAATTACCATCTCCCTTCTCCCTTCTCCGCTCTCCATCTCCCTCTCCCTTCTCTGCTCTCCATCACCGTCTGCCTTCTCCCCTCCTCCTCTTTTCTCCCCTTCCCCCCCCTCCACCCTTTCCCCCTCCACCCTTTCCCCCTCCACCCTTTCCCCCTCCACCCTTTCCCCCTCCACCCTTTCCCCCTCCACCCTTTC